TATATATATAACTCAATATATATAATGCTATGAAATACATTAATTCTCCATAGGCGGTTAAAAATCAGCACTATAAAGCAATAATGAACTTAATACGAAACAAAAACAACATTATGAGATCAAAATTCAAAATTCTTCTCCCATTACCAGTCCTCGTTGTCATACATAAGTCATAATGTGGTCATAGCACCCATTCGCGTTTTGGATATTCCATGTATTAGACAAGATCCCGACACAGACGTGAAACTCGCCAACAACTAAGGAGAATCAGGGTTGAGTGCTTAAACCAACAGCGTCTCAACTCCTATCTGTAGCCAATTGTGGGAAGCCTATTACCTTTAATATTTAAATATAGCCTTAAGGTAGAATTAAACCGCCTCAAATTCTACAATGTAAAAATTCACAACCTCCACCCTTTTATTTAATATTATAAGATATAAAAAATATAAGATATTGTTATAGTAAAAATAAACCACCCTATATTCCTAGAAAATTCCCAACCTCCACCCTTTTATTTAATATTATAAGATATAAAAAATGTAAGATATTGTTATAGTAAAAATAAACCACCCTATATTCCTAGAAAATTCCCAACCTCCACCCTTTTATTTAGTAATTAGTGATATTAAACAGCACTAAATACCCTAACCTTAATTTGTCAGAGTTAACAAAGAAGATAGTTTTCCTTACTGACTAACTACTTCGAGAAGTATGGTTAGTTCATGACACGGTTAAACTGTTTGTTTTATCTAAAGTCTAAGTGAAAATCTCTCAGGCTGAAATTCACTAAAAAATGATTTTATAAACCAAGCGTAAGAGAGATTGGAACTTCCTTTGGTTTTCATAAATGAAAGCTCTCTATCGCTGAAAATAAAAATATCAGAACGAGCTTCGTTTTTAGCAAGATCGTAAATATCTAGTCAATCAGGAAATCGTAAAGATACAACACTTTTTTGTTATATCAAATCAAGTTAACTGTTTAATTTGATACCCTCTCCAAAAATGACGATAGGACAATTCTTGTACTGCTAACCCCGATGAAACCACAATAGCGAAACTTTAGCTGAAACAAATAGTTTTTTAATTATTTATCTTTATAGTAAAGATATTTCATAACTTTATTGCCAAGGTGAAGATTATCGAATGATTTTGGTATTTGTGTTAATGAGACATATACAATGTTTTCAAGAGATGGCGCTTGTTGCAAAAATTTTGCATATTTATGCAATATATAAAGGTACTATAATACTGTTAATTGTAATTGTTTAAATATATAAAGGTACTATAATACTGTTAATTGTAATTGTTTAAATATATAAAGGTACTATAATACTGTTAATTGTAATTGTTTAAATATATAAAGGTACTATAATACTGTTAATTGTAATTGTTTAAATATATAAAGGTACTATAATACTGTTAATTGTAATTGTTTAAATATATATAGGTACTATAATACCGTTAATTCTAATTATTGAAATATATAGAGGTACTATAATACCGTTAATTCTAATTATTGAAATATATATAGGTACTAGAATTACCTAGAATTACTAGAATTTCATTAAAAGTAGGTGTGGTCTGCATTTTTTTTAATCTCCAAGAGCCACAACTCTTAAACATATTATTATCGCTGATAATTTAGTTTTAACTACTCCAATACGACTGGGAATAGTCGAGTCGTGAATGGAGAGTTCATTCTGTAATATGACATTGGTATAAATAAACAAATAAATATAGGTAAAATAAGCACTGGCACCATAGAAATTAGTAATACTCAAAGAGAAACTCTGCAACCAATCACTAAAGAGCCAGATGTGGCTCAAGAGACGTCGGTTGGTCACAACGTGCTATAATATCCGTGTGTATAGGTATGCATGATGCATAAAAGAATGTGATATGATTATTATGTTGGTTGGTCACAACGTGCTATAATATCCGTGTGTATAGGTATGCATGATGCATAAAAGCATGTGATATGATTATTATTAGCCTATATGCTAATTAGGTTAAGGACTTTGTGAATATCTTGTACACTTTATAATTTCTGTATTAATTTCAATTCCATTTTTTTTACATGTGGGAAGGTGTCACGTGACAGACCAGAAATACTGTTATCTCTTAGTTATCTGCCCTCTGCTGGCCGACTGACTCTGGTTGTGTTGAAAGCTTCTAATTTATTGGATTCAAATTCGAAAGAAATACCAGGTGAAAGAACTTGACTTTAATACTTAATACGTTTTCTACCTATCAGTAGCGATAATAAAGGTATTTACTCAGTAAACATTTGTATGCCTGGCTTGCCTTTGTGTGTATGGTCATCATAACTCATTAAATCAGTTTCATAGTTCTCACTGAAAGTACAAAACATTTGACGTTGATCCACTGCCTGGATTGAGGGTATTATTGGCGTAGCTACTTCTACTACATTTGTGGCCTCTTTTTTTTTATTGCTAAGCGCAGAGTTGCATAATGGGCTATCTATGCTCCGCTAACTGCGAGGATTGAGTCTCTAATTTTACCATTATAACCCCTCAATCTTATTGTTTAACCACAAAAGGCGTAATATCTGCTATCAACCTCGGGATTTACTTGCCCTCACTCTGGTGCAAAAACTGGAATTAGACCCGCCCACAACCCCATTTCTATTCTAAATAAGATAGAACTATTAATGGTACAAAATTAGGGATAGACACAAACGGTGTTTCAATCAAATGTTTTTAGCATAATTGAATTATTTATTTCTCATTGTGGAAGGGGTGTTTTTCCCATTTTGGAACAAAGTGTCCATTAAACTATAAAACTTCACAATTTTTTCCTCTCTCTCTTTGTCCAAATAAATTTAAAAGGGGCGCTGTTTATTTATTCATGTTTATTATTTTCAAACAACATGTCTGATTGCAGTTGTTATTTAATCATTATTGATAAACCTTTAAAGGAACCACCCACCAGGGGATAGATTTCATTTAAATATTCATTCATTGGCTAACTGAAGAGAAAAGAAAAACAGATAAAATTTAGATTGATAGTTAGTTTATTTCCACATGTAGTGACACAATATTTTGCAAGGTTACGTTACTTTGCTTAATTCATCCTAAACTTTTTTTTAAATTTATTGGCGGACTTATCCCTTTGCTACATTGCTTGTGGTCTTTGTGAAGCTGCTTGCATCGTGTATCATTAATAAAGCATTTTTATTTCCAAGAATACCCTCTTTCAGATGATGAATTAATTCTTTTGAAGCTGCAAGATACGTGATTTTCAATGATCAAACGATAGGTAGTCGTTATTATATGACAGGAAATATAATTTTAATTAGTGTGCAGTTGAAGAAAAAATGTGAAAATATATTTGATTCCCTGTTAACAGAAAACTATGGACCGACCTGAAGGGTTAATTGGAAGATTTATTGTTTTTTTATTATCAAGATACCTATGTGAAGGTGACACTTGTCTCCAAAAACATGAAGATGAAAAAGAAGAAAACGACTACAAAGAGAAGATCAAATAATCCAGTATGGAACGAAGCTTTGAGTTTTGATATCTCAGAAGATGGCCTGAAACACTGCCGTCTGGCAGTCAATGTTATGAACTGTCACCATAGCAACACGCCTTTACTTGGATCCTGTATTCTTGGAATGGATGAACACGGTAGGGGAGCATCGCACTGGCGAGACATGTTTCACAATCCTCGTAAGGCCATAGCGATGTGGCATGGGCTCCACATATAATGACAAACTTCGTACACATGGATTTCGGAAATACGTTGTGGATTGAAAAATATAAGTGTAAGCCAGTATAAAATGTATTTGTTTTGTAAATATAAGGGGAAAGTAAGATTTCAAACAAGTATTATTGTATATCGGAAGAAATTGGAAGTGTACAACCTAATTTGTCAGTTACGGTACACTATGTACCTTCATCTGTTGGTGACAAACTGAAATGTATTAATTTTATATAATACAATTATTCTTGTCCTCCTACAGCGCCACCTAGTATATGGCAATTCTTAGCTCTGTGTTTATATTTGCTAAATGAAAGTAAAATGTTTATAACTATATCATATATCTATATACGCTTATTAGACCAAAAACATTTAAATATATATATATATATGTTATATATTAAGTCCTTTTACCGTCAAAGTATTAATACTAATTATATTTAGGTATCCTATTGTTACTGGATGCTGAATGCCATTTTTACAGAACTATTCATAATATTGCATATTTTTTAGTTAACTTCTTATTACTTCTTTTCTCCATATTATCTATTCTATTTCACTGATATATAAGCGTTTGCTCAAAAAAGGCAATTTTCTAAAAGGATATTAATATTCTAACACAATATTCTGTAAAGTTTTCAGTCATTCTCAAGCTAGTGCCTGCAGTGCTTTAAAATTCAGTAATTTCTGTATTTCTGAGCTTAACTTTAAAGCAATGGTAGATAAGAACTTATTGCAATCAATCTTTCTTATCCAACTAATATTTTCTCTTTAACTTTAATTTTTCTCTTTATTCACTACAAGCTGAAATACGGGGAATGTTTAAACTTAATTAAAACAATGTAAGTTTAATAGCAATCATATATTTCAAAGTAATTTTAAAATTATAACAAAGCTTCTTCATAAACAACATTTATAATTTGCTTTCCATCTACCAAAAAATAAAGATTTTTGAGGTGATTCCACCCTTGAACATCCTACATCCCATTGACCATGAGAAAAGCATAGTTGTTTGAGAAACAATCCAGAAACTTTCAGTTTTTAACCTTGAATCCTTTTAGAATATTCAACATTGTCCAAAGCGTCAACCTGCCAAGACTGTTTGAGATTGACTCAATAGGTTGGGATTAATTAACCAACAGGCTTTACAAAATAAAAATAGGGTTAAGTTCAATTTTGATTCCCTTAGGACATTCCCCATGGTTCGTAGTATTTACCTATCAATTTTGGTTGGAATTGGCCCAATAGGTTCGGAGGAGTTAGGATGCAAACAAACACGCATTTCGTCTTTGTATATAGGGAGACTTTTACTAGAGTAAAAACAGCTAATTTATTTATTATTTTTCCCTCACAAAAACTAGAAATTTCATTGTCGACAGGTAAAAACTGGGCATATGACTTTTGTATAAATTCCGCACTAAAGTTCCATATTTGCTTTTACTATCTCATGTTTAAAAAAACAAAAACAAGTCCTTTACTCAAATGTGCAGTTTAAATAACTAACTCTAAACGTATTTTACTTTGATAGAACTCTCATAATGTTCGTAACTGAAACCATAAAATTAGTGGAGGTATATTACTTATAACATTTCTTAAGTAATGCGTTTCAAAAACTAAGATTTCTTAGCTATCTTCTGAAAATTAAAATAAATAAGAAATATTTAATTTAACTTTCATGTGTACTTGTCTTTTGTTAAGTGTTTTAACAAAATAAATATTGTTAATGAAATTTTTAGCCAATTTGTTGACATTTGAAATACTTTTATACATCTTTTTCATTATTTCCCTTGGACACTGGTGTAGAGAAAGGTATATTAGTATTTTGTTGGAATATTGGTGTATAATATTTAACTTTTTGATTTACGTCATAATTATGCTTAATTACAAAAGACGAATGATTATTAAAAGAAATCATAAGGAAAGTACACTATAGTATAATGTAACGGTAACTGACTATCCGTTTTGTGAAGTCACACCGTAAAATACTGATTGCTGTTTTCATTGTAGTGTCTGTACGTAACTGTGTACGAACATAGTGAGATGTTATCTTGTCATTATTTATTCATGAACAAATTAATTTAATGACAAAAGGCAATGATGTAATTCCGACAAGTAAAAATTATGTCGTTTTTTTCAATGTCATGCAAAAAATTTTCAATTCTAGATTTCAACGACAGAACCTAAATCATGATACATTTAAAAATGGAGCTTTGAAACATGCGCCAAATATGGCGTCAGGAGGTAATTTCTTCCGAGATAACAAACATTGGATTCTCTTTCACTTGCTTAGGCAAAGTCAAACTTCCTCGAGATTACGTCCTGTACTTTTCTTTTAGATGATCTTCTTTTTCTTCAGGATCTATACTGAATATGCGTTTCTGAACAAAACCGTGTTAGTGTTGGTCAGTAATCTTTAGAAGTACGCGAATTTATTCTTTAATTTTAGGGACTATAATTTATAAGGCGAATGTCATAGGAATAGGAAGCAAAAGAATGTCAATAGAGTTACAATCGCGTATGTGTATGTGTAGAGGGAAATTGGGAGGTTGTTTGGTAATGCTATTAATAAACCCAAATACAAATATGTTTGAAAAGACCAAATTTTTGCCTCTGGCAAAGGTTCCAAATTAAAAAAACGTCCGTTTCATGCGAAAAAAGTTTGTTCGCGTCTTCTTCATTTTCTTATTCTACCTCTTTGCAGTTCGTCTCTGAAGTTTTTATTTAAATAAAGTACAAGTTATCGTCTCAAACTTTAGGTTAGTTACAATGGAGAGCTTTATTATTCAAATATTTAATTTAATATTTAGATATTTTAAATAAATATTGCCTTTATTTAAAACGATTACAGTAGCTGAGTGCCAGAAGATCTTTAATGACTTTCTTTGGTTAATTCACAGTTAATTCCTTTCGCTATCGAAATATTTTACTAAAGTACCCGTCATTCAGTGTTCAAAGTTTTCACTACTATAATTTCACACTATTTTTTATTTAGTATTTGCCATTAATGATCTCATGAAAGGTTTGCAAACATGTTCGAATTAATGGTATTGAAACTGTGGGTAAGCAAATATATTCTAGCATATATATACATTTCATTATCAGATAATAAAATCGAATTGTTGTGTACTTAGTGATCGGAAACATTACGGTTATGAAATAAAAATTATAGTAGTTGCAAATTTCATCTTTAATCAGTGAGGTATTCATTCTAAATCTCGAAGTTATCCTTCACATCCCGTACAACATGAAAACAAATTCTTAACTGAATTAAAACACATGAAACAATAAAATCCGTCTTAATCAGAAGAACTCAGAAAAGCTCTCAAGAACCACATTTTCTTTTTATTTCATACCCACCTTCTCAAGAGAAATTCAAACACCTTAATGTACGAAACGTATATAGTGGAAACAAGTCTAGAGAACATATTGCTCGAAACGTGTTATTCTTTCTAAGCTTGCCCCAGAAAATAACATGAGCTCTGAATAACGTTATTAACGCGTTATTTCAAAGAGTTGTGTGTGTATGATACGGATATTTTTTCTTTAAATTAACTTGGAAGATAGTTTTTTTTTAATTCAGCGTCGATGCCGTATGTATATATATATGATATAATGATTAAAATATCTTCTTGCTGAATTATGAGTAACAATACTTTTATAGTAAAAGCAAGCAACAGTACAGTTTTAAATTTTGGAGTGACGATGGAGTAAGGCTTGCTGATGTATTATAAATGTGCCTATAATTTAACTTTAACCTATAAAATGAACTTAACAATTTTCCTAACCAACAAAAATCTTTAATCTAATTCAGGTTTATATTTCTGTATGAGATATTCATACTTGAATAACATGTATGATTGTCTTAAATTTGCTGGAGTGCATTAGTGTTTTCAATATGTTTATTTAAAAGGTCTTCGTATTTTATCCTCTAAAACAGCTTTAGAGAGGACTTTCGTGTGGTTTAGTATAAGAATAAGTAAAGACAAAATAAGAGCAGTGTTTCAGATAACGACAGGTAATAATGCCCTTGGATTAAAAAATCTGGTAATAATTTACTTGGATTAAACAATTTCCACGATTGTTTCTGATAGGTGGTATGAGTATCAGAGAAGCCGAGAACAAAATGTTTGTACTTACAACTTACAAATGTAAACATTTCTCCCAATAAACCGAAATGTTTCATTACATGCAATTAAATGGTAACCGTTACTGGTTTAGTTAGATTGTGGTAGTTTAACACATTTGTAAAAAATAGGGTTGGGCTATTCCCCACAATCATAATGGGGGGGTTTTAATAGTTTGTTTACACACAATCACGTGTACGTTGTGTTTGTGTGTGCTCATAGATTAATATACGAACTACAGTTAACTTACGTATGTGGAAAACTCTCGGAAGCAAAGGTTTTTTAAGCCCCCAAATGGCTCAGCGATAAGTGCTTATAATTCTCAATATCGGGGTTCGATACTCGCGATGGGCAAAGCACATATAGCCCATTGTGTAGCTTTACGCTTTACAACAACCAAACAAATATACTATTTTTCCACTTCCTACATAAATTAATAAAATAAACAATAAACAAATTTTAAACGTAACGGGATGGAAAAGACGCAAAATATGCTATTGATTACAGAAAACATAAAAACGTGGTTTGAGGATTTCACGAAAGAATAGTTATGATAATTATGTTTGAAATGTGTTTTTTTGGCTAAAGAGTAGTTTAAGTCATTTACTTCGCCTAAATACTAATTTTGTTTTGTTTTTGAGCTTTTTCTAGTTAATAACTAAAAGGCAAAAGATGAACTAACAGAAAAGCTAAATAGCCGCAGGCGTTGTTACGCAATGAATAAAGTTAATTGTGAAGGAAAACGGATCCACCATCTATTGACAAATCTTAATTTTTTTGGCGACTTGTTGGCCATCAACCGAACTATGTTAATGAGATTTAATGTTGCTTGAAACAAAGTTTCTCAGCTAAACATGCCCTAGGTTTTCTTGTCTGAACTGAGGTAAAAACCGAATAATTAAACTGACTGAAAGCATGACCAGCGTACAACTTCTTACCATGCAAGAACAACAAGAACACTTTTGTTTGTTTTGTTCTTCTTTTTTTTTTGTTGTTGTCGACAAAATACCGATTTTTTTTACTAAAAAGCATACATGTGATCTAAGATCTACGTTAGGCATTAGGTTTTCATTACGAATCGCCCTATGTTATTGCGTAAGTTTCAAAAGCCCAGTTAAATAGAACACTATTTATCTATCTATCTCTAGTTCTCTATTCTGTTGTGTTAATGGTTTTCCTTCGTTAACAGCTCCAGAAGCATGTAAAAGTAATTAATATTGTGATATTATTGAAAATGCCCCCCAGTAGCACAGCGGTA